TGTAATACGTTCTATCATGAAAATCAATACCCTTCTAGCTTCTTTTTCAAAACTTGCGACCAACTTCCAGGTGCCGCACATAAATCCACTGCTCGTTGGACGCCTACATGCAAGTCCAGCAGGTTATCTCTTAACAACGTGATCATAATAATTTTTATTCTGTTTCACCTTCAAAAATGTTAAATTCTTCATCGATTTGTAATAACTTGAATGCACTCCTAGCTCGCCACCCTTGTTCCTTAGCTAATCTATAATAAATATCTCTTTTATCCTTGGATGATTTTCCCATTGCGAAAACGTTGTGAAAGATGGATGGCTCTAGGCTGTTGTAGTACAAAAGGCCACCTGGTATATAGTTGATACAGAAACTTATCATGTTATTTCAAAAATAGATATTCAATTAGAGTTTCTTAATTTAAATTCATTAGAAAAAATTATTAAAATTATCTCAATAAATAAATTAGTTAAATAAGAATATATTTTATAATAAATTGTCTTTTTTATAATTTTACATGAGTTTTTTAAAATTACTTTTACAAAATAAAAAATAAAATAATTTTAATATTGTTATTTAAACATAATAAGAAATCTTTAATAATTTTTTTATAATTTGATAATTTTTTTTTTTGATTTTATATTGATTTTTTTTGAAAAATACAGAATTTATATATAAATTTTTATTTAAAATTTCTAATCATTTAAAAAAAATTTTTTTTCAACTTTAAATTGATGTTTTAAAATAAATATTATAAATAATTATATTAAAAGTTTTAATTAATTTAAATTATTATTTATCAAATTATAAGAAAAATTCAATTTTGATTTTTTTTGAACTGGATTATAAATAAATAAAAAGATAATATTTATAGTATTTATTAAAAAAACAAAAAAACAGTAAATATAAATTACAATAAAATTTAATAAATAAATAATTTAAAACTAATAATAAAATTTATATATCAGTCCCACAAGTTTTCACATCTAAAATTTTATCATATGATCTTCGTTAATTATACAAATAACTCAATTGCATTTCAAAAACTTTCATAAAATCTCAAGTCAAAATAATTAAATTGTTTAAGACAAAACTGTTGAGAGTACTTCTGCAAACAAAATGATATATAGAACATATAAAACTAATGCCTCCTTATTGAATACACTGCCTTTGAAAACAACAAACATTTTTGTCTTTTTTAATTAAATTATTCTTCAGTTTACAAATTTTCGCCATAATAAATGGTTTACTGGTTGCACCAAAGCAAGGGCTTTTGACAAACTACATCCTCAAAAAGGTCTTACATTATAAACATTACAGGAAAAAACAAAAAAAAGAAAAGAAGGTTTTATTTATAGTATGTAGGTAAATCACTTGCCCAAATCTTTTAAGATCGCAGTATTAACAATCGAATAATATTATAGTGGCTCTATACATGTGGCGTAAATTATTTTGCTGTTGACTCAATTCCCAAAATCCTTAAAAATAATTGCGTCATGATTCAATTATTTATATGTTTTAATAGTGACTCAATTAATTGCATCAAATAATTGTGTTAATTGCGTTAAGGATCTATGAATTTCAGCAACATGTATAAGCGGCTCTACCTGCTTCTTTATCTTTTTATATCTATATTAGCTATACCATCTATCTCGAACTCGTTTTGGTGTCCAATAATCGATATATTGTAATAAGTCTTCAACTAGTCTATTAATAACTTCCTTGAGTAATATAGAGGATTCTTTGTATACTTCAAGCTGTTTTAAGATCTGTTCTTCGACAACCATTGGCTTATGTGATTTGCGTTTCGTTGGGGTTTCGTACAATGGCATTAACTGTAAGTCTTTATTAGTTTTATTAACTTCTGCATTATATAATTCTGGAGTCCGCACAGAATAGTTGTTTACTTTTTCTATCATGTGATTTGCTTCTGTTCTTGCTCGTTTTCTATTTTTTATAATACTCATAGGTATCAAGTTCCGTCTACCTCTTCTGACTTTCACTTGCATAGCAGTTTTATGAACATCTTGCTCGACAATAGTATCCATTCTTTCGATTCCCAGCTTGTAATAAGTATAAATTCACCAATAACCATCATTTGTTAATTGTGTAGTTTCCGCAAATAAGGTTTGTGATTTTGGTTGTGGATTATTGAATTCTACTTTAAGCTCAAAAATTAACCTCCAAAGAGCTTCTTGACGATTCTTAACAGACCATGGAGTTCTACTTAGTGATTGATCGTTGGTAAATTCTGAAACTAATAGACTAAGTCATTTATATTTTTCTTGCGCTGCTTTAATATTCAACTTTAAATTCTCTGAATTCATAGTCAGGCCAGTCATGTTTTTTTTTACGAACTTAACTCTGAACATTTCTAGAGCCTCATCAAAAGCAAAGTGATGTCCTTCTTGTGTTAAATTCACTGAAGGCGCTGACCGAAGATCTTGAAGAAGTTGTGGCTTACTTCGAAGATTTGACAAAAATCATGCCACAGATTCAGCATATCTTCTTTTTCCTGTTATGGGAAATAAAGGTGCAAACGCCATTAAGCTATGCATTTGTAGATCAAAATTTGCCATCCAAATGTCAAGCTTGTGTAGTTTTAAATATCCTGTCTATTGATAAAAATTATATCACACTTTTAGAAGGTTATTGTTTTCTTTAGAATATCTTTAATTGAAATATTTCTTTCCTTAATGTATAGTTGAACTGCAACACCTACTGTTGCCCAAATAAGCTCAAGTACTCGAAATGTTGCCTGGTAATCAGAAACTTGTTCAAGTTTATCGAGAAACTTAACACCAAGCTATGCAGCAAGTCCAAAAAGTCTATAACCCGAAAAAGCAGCAATTAATACATTACACATTGCCTTATTCACATGTCATTGTCCTAAGACGCAATGTACCATCTGTTTTTCACTTGTATAGTTTTTTATGTGACTATAGATTGCTTCATCACAAATCAAATTCAATATACCATTTTTTGTATCACCGAAATCATCTAGAAACATGTTAATGGCTTGATGAACATGTTCATTTTTGTTTGGAGTTTCTCCTGATTCAAGAATCACAACATTCAGGGGTGCTATAAACAACATTGAGTCAATATTCTCTTTAATGGCTTTATCGATATGTTCAACACCAAATGTCGAGTTTTGATTAATTAATCGATTGAAGACTGTGTCCACTTTTGTTTGCTATTCCTCCATAATAAAACTTATACCAAAAAGATTCTGATCTTTCATTGGTTTCTCATTTGAGTTGTTAAGATTTATATGTTGAAACTGAAAAACCATTTGAAGTGTTGCGTGTGCAGTAGCTCGAGTTGCATTATAGATATTTCCATATTGGAAGGTCTTATCCTTCATATCAATATTATCTATAGCTGCAACATTCAAGATATTCAGATGTAGGTTAAGCCTTAATCGAGGTTCTATGGCTGTCATTTTTTTTTTTGGACGTATATTTCATGATTCCTAACATAGGAGATAACCTGAACTGCATGAAGGATTTTATACAAAGATCCTATCATTTGTGGTCATCGACAAAGGGAAGAAAGAATATGAGTGAATCATATTTTCCAGTGACAAAAAGCAATAGTAAGTATTACAGAAGAAAAGAAAAGAGAAGGTAAATTAATGTTTTTTTCATCTAACTGTGGTGAATTCCTATTTTTTTCCTTCCATTTTCTGGCTAATATAGTCATTTTCTTTTCTTTAATAGCTGAAATTAATCCAACAAAAAAATTAATAAGAGATGATGGCATAGCATTCTGATATTCCTCTAAGGATTCTGGCTCTTCAAGTGATCGTAACTTCTTCCTAAGTTCAGATTGTTCCTATAGTATAGAGTGAGCAAGTTTTTTTTCAAAGGTTTTACTTTTATTATCTTTCAATGATGATGCTTTTGCTTCATCAACTTTGATTTTTTTAATAGCAAATGCTGTTTTTATTAGAAAAAGACTGGGAGTTGGTGAAATGATAGAAAGCGTGTCGATAGCATTACGTGTTTTAGGTGCATCCATAATAATATTATCGAGAATTTTAGTAAGCCCTCTTAACAAATTAATCTTCACATTTTCATTTTCAGATTCAGTGGTTCATTTAATCCATTTATTAAAAAACTTTAGAGTAAGTGTAGTATCATCATTATGTTGTTCTTGTTCCAAACATGAAGTCAAACGTTTTCCTTTTCCTGGCTGAATATGCAAATGGCCTCCATGTGTCACAAAGCAACTTGTGCAAATAAAATGAGAATTATTATCACCAACATTTGATTTCATTGACAATCTATCATATTCATTAAGTGCTAGGCAGTTGAATAAACCACGGCAAGAAACCTGAACTATGCGTTCGCACACTTTCCATGTATGTGATGCGCATGTTTTACCTCTTGTTAAAAAGCATTTGAATTTATTGCACAATAAACAGCAATGTGAGGTAATAACACGTTCTTCTATTGTCCATATTGCCTTAATATGTATTTTTCTTCCAGGTTTATGTACAACATTCTGATCGTAGTTAAGATGACGCAAACAAATCCTTAACTCAGTAATAGCATTTCCAACTTCTTGCACAGCTAGAAAATCAATTTCCCATATACCGCACAATTGCTCCACACTGCAAACTCCTGTGTTATTGCACCTTTGGATTATACGCTAATCATTATCATTGTCAATAATCACACATGATATGAACTTAGTGTTATCAAGAACAAGGGAAGTAACCAGCTTTTCAAACTCCTCATCAAATACTTCTATCTCATCATCACTCTTAAAAAATTTTTCGTCGTTTTCGAGTAATTCATTATCCTCCTCTTCAACAGATCCAGTAATTATTTCTTGTACTTTCTCTAATAAATGCAGGTCAAAATCGAGAACTCTATTATATGCTTGACTGAAATTATTACAACCCTTTTTCTTATGATCAATTGAAGCCTCATGTAACAATTTTTCTATAATTCTTGATTTTACTAAATAAAATAGATTTTTCTTCAACATTGCTAATTGATGGTTATAGGAACTGTTGCAAAGTCTGAAGCAACACAAGATCACATGAAATGGTCGTGATTATGCCATGACTTATAATACACATAACATAAAAGTTCTCATATTGCTAAGAAGATAAAAAGATAGTGAAGGTAATTTGATACGAGAGCTGGAGAGACTAGGTATTGATCTTGATTATCCGTTTACTTAATAAGATATTGCATAAGAGAGGCTATTAATTTATAATAATTTTAAAATTAGGAATACGCATAAATAATGATTAAGGTCTAATATTAATATATATATGG